CCCTATTTGGTGATGGGTTTTGGGAGGTGAGGTCTAGGTGGAAGACAGGAGCCACTAGGGACTTGACCTTGGGGCTGTATCTTATCCCATGGTCCTCTCTGCTTCCTGTTCACAAATGTTCATCATGACTGATATTTCTGTCCAAGTACGTGGGGCAAAGAAAGTTTGAATTGAGCCCTTGGAAACCATGAGCAAAATAAATCTTTTCTCTAAGTAGCTTTGGTTATTTGGGTCCATGCTACTCAATAGAAACTAACACAGCATCGTCACAGGGTCCCTCTTGTCGCTCCTTCACCACATCCTTCTTCTCAACTTAACTCTTTAACCATTAAGTTCTCTATCTCTGTGCCTGTGTTATTTCTATATTTGCATCCATGTAAACATAAGACACATGTGCAGATACCCACAGTATCCAGGAGATATGGGGTATGGGGTCTCCTCAAGATGGAGTTACAGGCAATACAGGCAGTTGTGAGTTGCCCTACATGAACTCAAGACCTCTGAGAGAGCAGTAAGGGTTCTTAACTACTGAGTCATCTCTGTTGGGCCCTCTGTTCTTTCTTTCTTTCTTTCTTTCTTTCTTTCTTTCTTTCTTTCTTTTTTGAGACAGGTTTTCTCTGTCCTGAAACTCTCTTTGAAGACCAGGCTGGCCTCTTCCACCAGGCCCTGTGTTATTTCTTGATTGTTATATTGTAGTATATCCTTTGAGACTGGATTTTCACACAATGAAATATTCTTGTGGTTAATATATCAACTGTGAAGAGTTTTGTTGTAGTTGCACAATATCCTATTGCATGTAAATACCATCATCTGTTCAGTCACCTAGTGAGTGAGTGATGTTTGGATAGTGCCCTAATTTGCTGTTACTGTGATAAAACACTGGCTAGAAGCAACTTGGTGGAGGAATGGGTCTGTGTGGCTTACAGGTTACTGTCTACCACGAGGAGAAGCCAAGGGAGGAACTCATGGCAGAAAACTGGAAGCAGGAACTGAAGCAAAGACCATAGAGAAAAGCTACTTAATGGTCTCCTTCTCTGATTTGCTCAGAGTTACTTTTCTTATATAGCTGTGGTTTGAATGAGAATGGCTCCCATAGGCTCATATGATTGAATATTTGGTCCCAAGTTGATGGAACTGTTTGGAAAGGATTAGGGGGTGTGTCTTTACTGGAGGAGGTGTGTCACTGGGGGTGGTCTTTGAACTTTCCAAAGACTCCCAGTTAGCTCTTTCTGCCTAGTGCTTGTGGATCAAGATGTAAGCTCTCAACCACTGCCCCAGCACCACGCTTGCCTGCCCGCTTTCATGATGCTCAAGGATTCTAATTCTCTGAAACTGTAAGCCCCTAATAAACTGGTTCCTCCATTAAGTTGCTTTGGTCATGGTGTCTCTTTATAGCAACAGAAAAGTAACTAACACAATAGCCAAGACTCACCTGCCTAGGGATGGCACTGCAGACAGTGAGCTGGGCCCTACTATATCAACAAGCAGGAAAATGTTCCACAGATATGTCCACAGGTCAATATGGGGTAGTAATCAATTCACAATTGAGGTACCCTCATCTCAAGTGACTAGTTGTGTCAAGAAACATGGGTAGTTTACAGGTTTGGGGCTATTACAATTTACAAATTAAAATTCATTTCTCTGGGAAAAATACAGAAGATGGTGTTACATGGCAACTCATTTTAATGAGGTTCTTTATCGTTTTATATTTGTTTGTGTTTTGACACAAAGTCTCATGGAGCCCAGGCTGTCCTCAAAATTGCTATGTAGCCAAGTGCTGGATTATAGGTGTGCACCACACCTGTTTTTATGTGGTGCTGGCTATTGAACCCAGGGCTTTGTCCATGCTAGGCATACACTCTACCAACACCCCCAGTTGTTTGTTTTTGAGACAAGGTCTCATATAGGCCAATCTAGTTTCAGACTGCAATGTAGCTAAGGCTAACCTACCTAGAACTTCTGCTCTTGTGTCTACCTTCCAAATGCTGGTGGTTTTGTTGTTGTTTGTTTGTTTTTGTTTTTTTGACATAGGGTTTCTCTGTGGCTTTGGAGGCTGTCCTGGAACTGGCTGTTATAGACCAGGCTGGTCTCGAACTCACAGAGATCCCACTGCCTCTGCCTCCCAAGTGTTGGAATTAAAGGCATGCACCACCATCACCCAGTCTGGTGTACTAATTTTGAAAGAAACTGCCAGACTGTACTATAGACTGAGTGAAGTTTTATATTCCTACTACCAAAATGTGCACAATTAGTTTTCCTGCATCTTCAGTAGTATCTCTTGTAACCAGTATTTTTCATTTTGGCTACTCTAACAGACATGTAGTGATACCTTATTGTAATTTTAATTTGTATCCTGTTACTGAAGTTTTTCTCACTGTACATTTACTGTCTGTGCATTTTGTTCATTTGCTCGTTGGATTGTATATTTGTGGGTTTTGTTTTCCAATGTAGAGTTTGAAGGTTTTTTTGTTTTGTTTTGTTTTTTGTTTTTGTCTAAGTACACCCAGCTACAATTTTTTTTTTGATGATAAGTAGGTATTTATTATGGAAGCACGTACACAGATAAGAGTAAATAACCGCCTCGGTCTTCCTGCTCCAGAAGATGTAGTCTCTGTCCTTCCAGTGCTGTCTGCAACCCAAGAGAGCTCAAGCCATCCCCTCTTCTACCTTATCATGGGTCATGTCTGCACCTAGTTCCAGGTCAATCAGCGGCGGCGGAATGGAAGCCCCAGCTACAATTTTTATCAGTTACTGTAACATTTTGTTTTAGAGGGAAATGTCATAGAGTCCCTATCTTACTGTGCCACATTAATATCCTCCCTTTAGAAAAACTATCAGTTTTCAAGTCAGCTGCCTTCAGAGGAACACTCTTTGAAGGTGACCATTTACAACCCTGGGGAAAACATTTTTGTTTGTTTGTTTGATAGTTTTCAAGAGGGTCTTTCTACATATCCCTGGCTGGTAACTATATAGACCAGGCTAGCCTTGAACTCACAGAGATCCACCTACCTCTGCCTCCCGAGATCAAAATCTGGGATCAAAAATGTGTGCCACCACTGCATAGCTGGTCATTGTCTAACTGGGAAGAAAGTGTCTTCCAACTATAGTAAACAGTCTGTCTTTCAACCACCAGTATACAGCATATAATAGATTTAAATATACTAAGGTAAGAAAGGTTGTTTAACAAACACAAAGCCCTACCTCTGAAATCACCTTCTTCCATACACCGGAAGGTTGGTAATGATACATAGTAAGTATAAAAGAGATGGGGATGAATCTACTGTAAAGAATTGGTTCATGTGCGTATTGGTTGCAGCACAGGTGTGAAATCCTGAGTCCACAGGGCAGGTCTTCCAGTAGAGTGGGCTGGAAATAGTGGACCTGAGATGATGATGTCCAATTGTAATTCCTTCTTCCTCAGTGACCTAACAAGCCCCTTCCCATTTTCTAGAATAGTCTCCCTTACTTACTGCAGTCTCTTAATTCTTGACTTTAAACATGCTCCATAAAGTACCTTCACAACAGATTGTGCCATTTGCTGCTAATACTTTCCTTTTCACCCAGAGATCATTTATTTATATTTTTCCTTTTCTATTTTTGTCATTCTCACCAGAGATTTTCTAAATTACTGGTTTTGCTGGCTGTTTTATACTGTTGTTTACTTTCTGTCTATGTTTTTTCACAGAAGAATATCAACACAAATTAGGGAGAATTACATGGGCCACACCTTCTGCCTTCTGTGGCACAAAGACACACTTTGAATTCTAGGCTTGTGTTGTTTTAAAATGGCTAGGGTTTTTCTTTTTTGTCATTTCCTATATGGAACATGAATTTACACTAAACACTGTATGAAGGCTAGTTAGTTTCTTACTGCAGGATCATATATACCTAAGAATAGAGTTCCCCTGAAGCTAAAGAGACGGCTTAGCAGTTAAGAGCACTGACTGCTCTTCCAGAGGATCCAGGTTTAATTCCCAGCACCCACATGGTAGCTCACGATTGTCTGTAACTCCTGTTCCAGGGGATCCAACGCCCTCATACAGACATACCTGCAGGCAAAACACCAATGTACATAAAATAGAAATAATAAAAAAGAACAGATTCCCCCAATTATGTTTGAGATCAAGTTGTTCACAAAGTTTGTGTGGGGGAGAGGGAGGCAGAGGACCGGGAAAACAGCAGTTTGGATTTGATTTTTGTCTTGTTCTTGTTTCTCTGTGGGTTTTTGTTTGAGACAGTATCTTAGAATGTAGCACTGGCATTTTTTTTTTTTTTTTTTTTTTTGAGATAGGGTCTCACTATATAGCCCTGAATGGCCTCAAACTGATCCCCCAGGCTCCTTGTCCTTTCAACCTATGAACTATCCCTAGTTGTGAGCCACCCCACTTACTACTGCATCCACACTTTGGGATGTGTTTGGTTTTTATTCATCTCTGCTTACAATAGACAAATGTGGGGCTGAAGAGATAGCTGTGAGTACAACACTCATTACTCATTACACAGTCCCTGGAACCCACAAGAAGCTGAGCACCAAATATACATCTGCAATTCCAAGGCTCCCACAGTGAGATGAGAGGTAGAGATAAGAGAATCCCCAGAAGCACATGGGCCATTGTAGACAACAAAGAGACCCCGCTTCAAACAAAGTGGAGGCTAGGACTGATACCTAAGGTGTGGCATATTAACCTGCACTCATACACCAAACACACACACACACACACACACACACACACACACACACACCACCCCCCCAGATGCACAAAATAATTAAACTGTGGCTGCTGAAAAGAGCAGTTAGACACTTCCCTTTCCTCTAACTAGTCTTATCAAGCTTTTGAAGACTCACTCAGCAGAACCCTGCTGCTGCTGATAAGGACAAGCATGGATGCTCACACAGCCACAATCTCTAAGTAAGGCCTTTAGCCTTTCTCGACCCCACAAATGATGCGGCAGAATATGGGACATGGAAATTCAATGTTAATACTGCATCAAGACAAATGTACAAATAACAAAGTTTTATTTATTTAAAAGACCCGGTCTGTACAAACATAACAGGAAGCCATAGATATTTTGTATGTTCCCAGACATACAAAATATCTCATTTACAAAATTATTTACACATTGGTGCCCATATTAAAAGCCACAGTCCTTAGATCAAGTTGACAAGAAAGTAATCAATAATAACTCACTCGGGAAGCCAACGACCATGGCACTTCTACTATGAAACATAAACAGAAGGAGGAGGAAACCTTAGAAGGTAAAGAGGTCTTAAGATTGAGACTTCTAATGATTTTTAAAGAAACAGTAAAAACGGAACCCCTGGGGACATGATGGTGTCCCTGGTAGTAACTACAATCATGACACTTCTATCTGGGGAAGGCAAGTCATCTGCACAGACAGCTCTTACGTTGTGTTTCTGATGCAGCAAATTGCTACTTTACTTTCCTGGCTTTTGTGGCAATAAGGATGGACCACAGGGCCTTGTGCATGCTAGGCAAGCCCTCCACCACCGAGCTGCACCCCTGCCCACTACACTGTCTCTATACTGCCCACTATACTGTCACAGGAGTATAGTAATACCCTCTCTGAAGACTAAAACAAGTCTAGGGTTAACCAAAGGCTGGAGCCAAGTTTCAATATTTTCTGACCCTCCCCTTCCTTTATTCTTGCTTAAATGCGAAAGCCGACAGTTTCTGATTGGTGGAAAGAGCTGATGTTTTTTGTTTTTTAGACAGATCCATATTCTCCTTTGCTGCTTCTTCCTGGTTTTCTGCCTCACACACCTCATGTTTTCGCTTCTTCACTTCAGGTGTATCACTGGCAATCTCTCCCTTGGCCTTGTTGGTCCATGCCTTTGTAAAACAGTGGGGTAAAGAGATTTTTATGCACGAAGGAAAAAATATGATAAAAATGGTCTACTTACTTCCATGGGTAATGTTTTTGTACACAAAACAGTAATTAGCACTTGAGTTTTTAAGTTTATCGTTAAAGGTTCTAATTGTTGACATATTTAGATTTCTTTTCTTTGAAAGGAAATATTTGCAAACTAATTGTCTGAGCAAGGGATGGATATCCGTAACATTTAAGCAGCATTGAAAACTCAATAGCAAAACCCCAAACAATCAAGTTAAAAATACACAATAGATTCTAAGCAGATATTCTTTTGTTTTCAGTTCATAACTAAAATGTCCTTTTGAGGGAGTAGTTTACACAGGTAGAGTACACATTTACACAGGTAGAGTAACCATAGTACTCAGTAACAACCACAGGTCTACTTGTCAAAATTCATCCACATCTAATTTCCTCTTCACTGAGACTTTTTGATGTATTTAATTTTCCAACTAAAACGGCATTTTTATAAGAACTTTTTAAACCTGGGAAATCCACTGAGATCTCATTTCGGCACAGCAATCCTTACCTTCCTTTCTTCAGCGGACAATACTCTAAATCGAACCATCCCTTCTTTTATTATGTCTGCTTCATCTGAAAAGTCAGGATTGTCAGACAAAATATGACTTCTATTTTCTTCCAGCCACATCTGGAACCCAGTCTTCGGCCTAAAGTAATAATTATGTGAAAAAAAACTAAGTGTCACATGGCCTTTGAAATTAGTAACTAACCATTAGCCTTTCAAGACTCATATGAAGTAAGGGAGATACAACTATACTAGTTAATAATATCCATATTACTTTCAAAAGCCTGCACACTGCAAGATCAGTGAGCTGGAGAATCCTCTGCAGGATCAATTCAGAAGGATCACTTTCCTTTACATCTGTCAGTGCAGAAACACAAACTCTGCATTTTCAGTTCTTGTGTGTTTATAGGTTCAAGACCTCCAACTTCTCTGAGCCCATCTGGCCTGAGAATTCCCCCAGCTGTCATTCACAGGCTCGCCATTTAGCAAAGCAGCTATCTGAACAAAATCTGCTGACTTCTCAGCCCTTACACCACCTCACCCCACTGACCACTGACCTGGGTTCTTCCTGCACCATCATTAGGGAGAGCATGGGACAAAGCACATTTGTAAATTTGATGGGATTCTATTATACCTTCTGCACAAACTGTTAAGGTCATCAGAAGATTTAATGGAAATACTTAAGTTTCTCAGCACTTGCTGCCACACATCCTAAACGCTTTATGTGTATTACCTAATAGAAAAACCCTATGATATGGAAATAATTAATATCTCAATGGATTAACCAGGCAACTGAGGCTCAGATAGATCACAGAGTAAGTAGGACTGCACAGTTAAGCAGTTTGACACCGGAATCCCCATGTTTAGTCCACCCGCTAGCTGTACAGCCTCTCGATATGCTGAACTGAATAAATCCTAACTGATTAGCCTGAATGACAAAGGTATTTACAATTAAAATGCTATTTTTAATTAATTAATTTTGAAACACAGTCTCACTATTAGCTCTGGCTGTCCTGGAACTCACTTTGTAGACCTGACTGGCCTCTGCCTCCCAAATGCTAGGATTAAAGGGATAAGTCACCATACCTGGCTGGGACACTGCATCTTCAAACTTCTCTACATACTGACCTTTGGTTTTCAGAGTTTTGAAGGCACATAGCTGGAGTTTCAGGTGATGGATTTTTAGGATTTTCTTTTACTTCCTCAGTCTTATCAGCCTGTGAAGTTCTTTTCTGGAAATAGGATGCTGCAGATGCCTATGCAAACAAACAGATGTGTGAGTCTGGGCAAACATACACATTTAAGAGGGGATTCTGGGGCTGATCCTGGCCTGAATACACTCCCTAGCCACACTGTGGTAAACCACTGGCACCTCATCTACCCATGCAGAGTGCACAAGGCCACCAAAGCAGTACCTGCTTAGACTTTGGCTTGGGGACAAGAGGCTTTATGACCGGGGATTTTTCATTATTTGCTGCTCGATTAAGAGGGGTGGACTTCCTGGATGATTTGTTCATATTGTCTAAAATATTAGTTGAGCGTGTGGAACTCATCGATACAGCTGGTTCTTTGGAATTGACTAGCACCTGAAGAGAAAAGAGCACACTGTATGAAGAAGAAAACAACCCTGCTGTAGCATCCTTTTTGGAAATGAATTCATGGAAATACAACCTAAATTGAGACTGAAGCATATTCTCTCAAATACCACACCCCACAGACAAACATGAGCACTGAGTACTCAGAGCGAAGGAGGAACGCTTAGATGGGAACGACTGCAGTCATCTGCCTATAGTCCCCCACCCCCGCCCCCAGTCTAAGGAGGCCATCAGGAGATACCTTTAAATGATATTATCCAAACAGAAAACATCATTGGTTACCTTGAAGGGGTTTACCCGTCCTTGGCTGCTAGAGAAGACTGCACCTATTAACAAGGAGAAAACTCTCAATAGTGTTTTTTGTTTTTTTTTTAAGATAACTTCTGAGTTTCACAATACTAAATAGAATATTTTAATTTGTATTATGAGAACAAAGGTACTTAGTAACTTTTTTTTGTTGTTGGAGATAAGAGTCTCACTAAGTCAGCGTGACTGGCCTCAAACTTATAGCGTTCCCCTCCTGCTTCTCTAGTGCTAGTATTAAAGGTGAGCACTGCCACGTGACTTTAATACAATTAACAAATACAGATGACCTCTTTCCTTCTTCCAAGACAAAGCAATATTAGATGGGAACTATTTCAATTTGCTGCTGAGAAACATACTGTGACCATGCAACATGGTGCTAAGGTTAGTAATCCCTTGAATGTGGACACCCACGCCCACCTATCAAGGAAACAACCTAGTGATGCCTCTTTCCGCATCTTCTGACATTTTCCCCCTTTCATTTGCCTCTCTCAAAAACAAAACAAAGCAAACTCTTTACACTTCCAACTACCATCCTCTCTTACAACTCCTACCAAATTTTTCAAAAGCCACTGACATTACTACAATCACTTCCTCCTTGCCCATACATCTCTCTATACAATGGTATAGTCCAGCCCACCTACACCACAGCTAAAACCCCTAACCAAATGTGATGGTTATTCTCTGCTCCTTTATTTGACCTCTCAATGGTTTTTCATATACTGGATTCTTCCTTCAATATTTTCTCCTCTCTGGACCAGTGGCTCTCTCCCTCTCTCTACTGTATTAGATGTTTAAATGCTGGAAATTCCCTCAACTGAGGCTGTTTCTTCTTGCTTTACAATACATAATACATGCTCACCTGTGCATATAAACTGCTCTACTTATGCCAATGGTTTCAGATTTATTTCAAGAGTTTTTGAAGCAAATGCCTAACTATGTGACCTACTTAGCTAATGGTAACACATCAGCTTCCCCTATAAACCTGTTTGCTTTTCTCTAGTGTTTCTGATGCTATCCTGTTCTTCACTATGAACCATCTTCCACCTTAGGAACACTCACTACTCTATCCCAAGCCAAACTATTCGGTCTCACTTGGACTGCTCCAGTAGTCTTATGTCTATCCCTCCTCAGTATTATGTGTGATGGTTATGTTCTGCTTAGAACCTACGGCAGCCTCCCAGGGACCTTAAAATGAAGATTTCGATTCTCAATAGTCTAAAAACATCTTCAACATTTGCCTGCTGCCTATCCCTCCAAGGTCCTACCAAACTGCTCTTTTTGCCTCAGACAGCCGTCTGCAGTCTTCACACATACTGTTTCCTCTGCCCCTGCGCCTGTCCACTGCTCCCCTGCTGGCTAATTCATCTCTAGTGTCTGCTGTCAGAACTCCATGAGGACATCCTCTGGTACCTATCCTCTTCTGACTGGATTACAGCCATTGTTATATGCTTCAAGCTTACATTTATTTCTCACCTGATTTAAGAGCTGGCATATCAGGGGAATTTGCACTTTGGAATAAGTTCTGCCCTATAATTAAAACAACACAATGGGTAAGTGAGGAAAATGAAGTCTTCCTTGATATTCAACACCTAGACAGCAGAGATACCTTGAAAAAGTATGGGAATTCAATTTCCCTCAGCCAACCAAAATGGGAAAAGCAATGCCCACGATAGCTCTCTCTCTCTCTCTCTCTCTCTCTCTCTCTCTCTTTTTCTTTTCCTTCCTTCCTTTCTCTCTTTCTCTCTCCCCCCATCCATCCATCCATCCACCTAATTTATCATTGTTGGGGGGATGGCACTTTGTGCACACGGAGATCAGAGGACAACTTTGTAGAGTCGGCTCTCTACTTCTTGGTGTGCTCTGGAGGTGGCACTCAGGTTGCCAGCATGGCATGGCAAGTGCTATCACTGGGCTTCCTTATCTTTCAGTACTTGAAAACGTGTCTCACCGTGGTTGTGTGGCTCTGGTTGTTCTTTTTCTTCTTGAACAGTCTCTTCTCTGTCCTCAGTGTCTTCTTCAATTTGACTTCTGGCCCGTGGCTGACTCCATTCTGTAGTGGTATGACTGTAACTGATGGATAATAGTATTATTCCATAAGGAACAAATGCAAGGCCAATTTCATATTCAGGACAGTAAAGTAAAATTCAAATAGCTGTTGTTCTTTTACCCAGCATTCAGTTTTATTCTGAAATCCTCTTCTTTCTCTTCTTCTGTCTGGGCTTCTGCCAATTCAGCTGCCTTTTCTGCAGCGAGGTCACTAAGTTTTTGAGCCAATATTAATTTCCGAGAGCGAGAAGCATATTTAATGGCTAAGTTCACAGCATTCTGAGTCATTAGATTGGCAAGTTCCACACAGCGAAATTCTCGCTCCAGTTTACAAGAAAGCTAATCAAGGGGGGAAATCAAAATCAAATCATGGTAAGTCAAACTTAAAAAAACAAAAAAGTCTCTGGGTGAACTATCTCACTGCTTCTAAAATGCACATTTTTACATGACAAAACTGAAAAGTATCTTATATTAATGGTGGGTTGGCTTGACTGGCAGTATTTCTTAGTGGCCTAAATACATCAAATAGTGGTACATTTACAAATAGTAGCTTAGATTCAGTGAGACATGACATATTTCAGATGTTAACTACATGAACAGACAACTGTTCAAAATTGAAATGCATTCTCCTAAATTTTTTTCCAGCTACCACCGAATCACAATAGGGCAGGGAATTTTAAAAAGTGAATTAAAACAACAACTAGTTATTACTTTGTTCAGAACTGACAAAACAAATGCCACAAAGGGAATTTGGATGGGAGAAGTAAACATCCTTAAAATTTCATGTCTGTCTATGATCTTCAACTACCAGAATTAGCTAGACAACTTTGTAAATAAACATTGCACAACTTTTTTATGCCTACCATATAAAAAGAAGGGTGTTCTGGGGCAAGAGGGATGGCTCAGTGGTGCAAATGAAGGGCTCCAGTAGGCAAACATGGCTCTGTCAGGCCTTGCCCTTTCTTTCCCCTTCCCTCCTCATAGCTAAACCACAGATTATGTTCCTAAAGCTAGCCACCAAGGTCTACTCCCTTATTTGGCCACTTCCTCCTCCTGAGGCTGACTACACCAAGGTCCAGCTATCAAAATACTGAAGTCCAGAAATCAAAAGCCCCCTTTTGGCTACCCTAATTAACATGCCCAATCAGAACAAACCAACACATCCTAACACTGTTTCCCCTTTTCTCTTTATAAACTGCCATTTGACTATGGGTCACAACTGTTCTTCTATCCAGAGGCAGTCCTCTGGATAGGACAAGTATCCCTTCTCCCTCATCCTGTCTCCTGTCTTTGTCGCTTATTCCTTGCCCTTTGACCCTTTTGGGCAAATAAATCTCCTAGGTGATGAGAACTTGGCCTTGTAGTGTCCTGTGTTGATTCCAGTCCTTTCAAATGCTCTTAAAGAGGGCTTGGGTTATATTCCTGACACCCACAGGGGCCCCTAACTCTCTGGAACTCTAGAGAACTTAATACCATCTTCTGGCCTTTGTGACCATCAGGTACTCACATGGTACACATACACACATACAGGCAAATATACTCATACACATAAGTAAAAACAAATATTAGAAAGGAGGAAGAGGAGGAAGAACAACATTCTTTTACTACGTCTTAGGGAATACTGGTTCTTCTTTTAGGTTTGAATTCTGAAAACTCGGCACATGGCAACTCAAAATGTGTCCTGTCACTGAAGGAACCAGGGCACTGAGAACTCAGGGTGCAGGAGCATTTTGTGAGTTACACACCTGACCTATGAGCATGAAGCTCTACATATTCACCTGAGCCTCCTTGGACTGCTGGTATGGTAAGTCCAGAGTAGCACTTCTAATCAAGGTGGAACTCTGACTCAAGAGGGCAGTGGCTAGAATGAACTAATGGTCACTCCCCTCAAAAGGTCAACAGTGGAAAAGATATGGATGGGATCACATTCCTTAAAAAAAAAAAAAAAAAAAAAAAA